GTCATGTTGATAGACAGACAGACCGATATAAGGTTATGCAGACAGACAGACAGACCGATATAAGGTCATGCAAACAGACAGACAGACCGATATAAGGTCATGCAAACAGACAGACAGACCGATATAAGGTCATGCAAACAGACAGACAGACCGATATAAGGTCATGCAGACAAACAGACAGACCGATATAAGGTCATGCAGACAGACAGACAGACCGATATAAGGTTATGCAGACAGACAGACAGACCGATATAAGGTCATGCAGACAGACCGACCGACCGATATAAGGTCATGCAGACAGACAGACAGACCGATATAAGGTCATGGTCATGGACAGACAGACAGATCCATAGCTGGTCATGCAGACAGACAGACAGACAGACCGATATAATGTCATGCAGACAGACAGACAGACCGATATAAGGTCAGGAGAGAGAGAGAGAGAGAGAGAGAGAGAGAGAGAGAGAGAGAGAGAGAGAGAGAGAGAGAGAGAGAGAGATAAGGTCATGTTGATAGACAGACAGACAGACCGATAGCTGATCATGCAGACAGACAGACAGACCGATATAAGGTCATGTTGATAGACAGACAGACCGATATAAGGTCATGCAGACAGACAGACAGACCGATATAAGGTCATGTTGATAGACAGACAGTCCGATAGCTGGCCATGCAGACAGACAGACAGACCGATATAAGGTCATGCAGACAGACAGAAAGACCGATATAAGGTCATGTTGATAGACAGACAGACCGATAGCTGGCCATGCAGACAGACAGACCGATATAAGGTCATGCAGACAGACAGACAGACCGATATAAGGTCAGGAGAGAGAGAGAGAGAGTGAGAGAGAGAGAGAGAGAGAGAGAGAGAGAGAGAGAGAGAGAGAGAGAGAGAGAGAGAGAGAGAGAGAGAGGTAATGATATGCATTAGCTACCACGGGGGTGGGGGGTACGCAGTTTGCATGTTCGTTCTTCTCTCGGGTGAGTTTTACAAGTTCTACATTTTAATACAGAGTTAGTCTGTTTTGGTTAAGTAAGAGTTCAGGTTTCTTATACTTATAAAGATTGCCTTTAGAACTGGATATGATACTGCATCGCCATTCTTGAAGAAACTGGTCCTTTAACACGGTTTGTGAGCCACTAAGTCGTAATTGAATAAGGGTTGTCCATCACTTTATATACCACAAGCGTCTCAGATATAAGTTATACATTCTTATTACTATCTCCAATACTTCTTGAATCGGTTCGTGAAGTCCGGGGTAGAATAGGTCTTCAGCAACCCCTGCTTGCCGTAAAAGCTTAAGGCGACCATGCTTGTCGTAAAGGGCGACTAACGGGATCGGGTGGTCAGGATCGCTGACTTGGTTGATGCATGTCAGTGTATCCCAAATGCGTGGACCGATGCTCATGTTGTCAATCACTGGATTGTCTGGTCCAGACTCGATTATTTACAGACCGCCGTCATATAGCTGGAAAATTGCTGAGTGCGGCGTTAAACAACAAACAAACAAAATTTCTTGAATCACGATAAACATAAACATAAACGTATGGGACTCAAGAGGAACACATTATGGTCACGTGGTATGCCACACGGCAGTTGCGTGCACGGTGGCGCTGAAGGATGTCGTTTCGTATTATTATCTACATTGTGTGTGACATTTGTGTGTGTTTATGAATACATACGCAGTCTCTGACTTTATTATTGACTTTATTATTGATGTGTACAGCAGACTACGGTTTAAACGAACACGCTTATAACGAACTGACGGATATAACGAACTTACTTTTTGGTCCCGACTGTATGCTGTAGTTATGCTGTATATATGCTTGTAACAAACTGCGGTTATAATTTATAACGAACTAAAATTAGTAGTCCCTTTAAGTTCGTTATAACCGTAGTTTACTGTATAAGAATTTATTTACGTTTAGGCGTTTATCGCTGTGCATATTTTACGTATTCCGTCAATTCATTATTAGAGTGAGTGAGTTGGGTTTAACGCCGCTTTGAACAGTATTCCAGTTATATCGCGGCGTCTCAGCTTAATGTGGGAGGGAAGCCCAAAGTGATGCAGGTGTCAGACGTTTACCACTTCGATGAAAACCCACGAGCACGGGTACGGTGCTGACAAACCTAGAAACATAATCGGGGCGAACCGGGATTCGAACCCACAATCATAGGTTTCTGGCGTGCCCAAGGGACGCAACTCTGCACAGCGAATCGCGGCGCCTTAGACCACTGGGCCACCTGTGCCCCCCTCATAATTAAAATGAGATTATTCAGTAATAGTATAAGCAGTATTTGCCTTACCCAAAAGGACGTTGTACTTTTGAAGAGGGTGGCTTTCAAGAGATACATAAGAGTATGACAGAGTTGCTGATAACCACATGTTGATGCAGCCCCCTGAATGATGTACACACCTCTGGCTTTACTTTATCGAACTGAGCACGGCGAGTCTGCACCATCAGCATCAGCTTAACGATGTCCACCTTGCACGCTGGTGACATACCTGTTAAGTATTCCGCCACCTGTCTCCCAATCACGATGATAATAAACATATTTTGGCGATAAACATGATATATATTTCTGCCTGCCCGACGAGAAAACGCATTAGATTTGACATATTTACAATAAACCTGGAATCTTTATCTGGACATTGACCATGTGAAATACAGGATCAATAATGTTGCTATGATGTACAATATTCTTATTTCCAAGCTCGACAAGAACAACAGGCTAGGAACAGAATAATAGTGTAGCGTGTCCTGGTCGTTATCATGAATCACCGTCATGAGTGTCAAATGTTCAGTCATTCACTATTGCCACGCGGGAATATGGTATGTATTGGCAGGAAAGTAACATTTTACAATAATGTTGGTCTCATTTTAATTGTCTTAATTTGCTATGTTAGCAAGTTTGTTTTATGCGTGTTTGTTGTTTTACGCCGCAATCAGCCGTCCAGCTATATGACCGCGGACGGTAAATACAGGAGACTACGGTTATAACGAACACGCTTATAACGAACTGACGAATATATCGAACTTACTTTTTGGTCCCGACTACTTGCTGTAGTCATGCTGTATATGTACTTATAACGAACTACGGTTATAACGAACTAAAATTAGTAGTCCCTTTGAGTTCGTTATAACCGTAGTTTACTGTAATCGAGTCTGGACCAGCCAAACCGGCTGCTCGACATCATAGGGATTGATCTTCGCAACTGGAATACGATGACATGCATCTACAAAGTCAGCGAGCCTGACCACCCGATCCCGTTAGTCGCCTCTCACGATTCGTATGATTGTTTTAATTTGATTGGTTGATATGCATGTTTTGGTTTGATTGGTTGGTATGCTTATTTTAATTTGATTGGTAAGTATGTTTAAAAAAAAAAAAATTGATTGGTTAGTATGATTGTTTTAGTTTGATTGGTTGGTATGCTTTGCTTATTTCGATTTGATAGTATGCTTCTTTCAATTTAATTGGTTTAATTAAATGCTTGTTTTAATTTGATTGGTTAGTATGCTTGTTTTAATTTGATAGGTTGGTATGCTTAGTTTAATTCGATTGGTTGGTAAGCTTCTTTCAATTTGATTGGTTTAATTAAATGCTTGTTTTAATTTGATTTGTTAGTATGCTTGTTTTAATTTGATTGGTTAGTATGCTTGTTTCAGCTTGATTGGTCGGTATGCTTGTATAATTTGATTGCTTGGTTTGCTTTTTTCATTTGATTAATATGCTGGTTTTGATTTGATTGGATAAGTGCTTAGTTTAATTCGATTGGTTAGTATGTTTGTTTCAATTTAATTTGTTTGTGTGCTTGTTTTAATTCAATTGGTTAGTATGCTGGTTTTGATTTGAATGGTTGGTTTGCTTGTTTCAGCTTGATTGGTCGGTATGCTTGTATAATTTGATTGCTTGGTTTGCTTTTTTCATTTGATTAATATGCTGGTTTTGATTTGATTGGATAAGTGCTTTGTTTAATTCGATTGGTTAGTATGTTTGTTTCAATTTAATTTGTTTGTGTGCTTGTTTTAATTCAATTGGTTAGTATGCTGGTTTTGATTTGAATGGTTGGTTTGCTTGTTTCAGCGTGATTGGTAAGTATGCTTTTTTTGATTGATTAGAATACATTTTAGAATTATATATTCACACATGTTAAGTCCACTTTTTTATTTGTCCTTCGTCAACGTTCGGTGGGCGGTGGGTAGCCTAGTGGTTAAAGCGCTCAACTTCGAAAAAAATCAAGCTATGCAGATCTGTGCCCTTAACAAATAATTGCCAACCTTATTATGAATGTCGATGTACTCTCATTAGGGTTACGCATTATGATACACAGGAGTGCGAACGACCAACAATCCACAGCCGCATCCAATAAAACCTCTGCACTTCGGAAAGTAAATAGAAAACGTACCTATATTAAATCGTATAGTAACATTCAACAGTTTGACAGATGTATCATCACGGCTTTTGGTATATGGGTAGTACAATATACGAGAGGCTGATAATTACCTGGCTGTGACACAGGTGTAGTGTCACGCCATATATGGAGAGACTCGGGGTTGGCGATATACCAGGGGTGTCACGATAAATCAAAATATCGATATATTGCTATTGGTAAGCACTTAAAGTAAATAAATCGATTGTTAAATCTGTTTCCGCTTGTATTTACCGTAGTTTTACAGATTCAGTAAAATACATGCAATGCTGTTCAAATTTGTTTTTCTTTTGATCATGAGTGGTAGTAATTTATACATAGTAATGTGGAAGTTTTATTTCTTAAATCATTAGGGTAAAGAAAATACAAATCAGTCATATCTCAAACTTCACTTTTTATTTGTTGTTATTGTTATCACAAACTATCGATATTTATCGCAATAATTACTTGCAATATCAATAGTTATCGCAATAGTTTCTTTCAATATCAATAGTTATCGCAATAGTGATTTCCAGACAAAAAGTCACCCCTTCGATATACCATTGGTACCGCTACGCCGTGATGGACAAAACTTCTGGGAATTCGTCTGGAATTCCTGGAGGTCTTGAAGCAGGAATTCTGTGGGCCTTAGGATCGAACACGAGCGAAGAGAGGGACTGCGGGTCCAACAACGCCGAGTTGAGGGGATGTGTCACAGTAGGAAAGAAAGAAGAAGGAACACAACTGGATGAAGGAACGAAAGATGACGTCACTGAGCATTTTAAGTTGAACCGCACCGCCAGGTAAATATCGTTTTTGACAATATCAATTCTTCATGCAATATGTTATTTACATACCATGTTCAAATTACGTTTGGCTGATCTACACGTATGTCGATGTTAGACATGATGTTTTGTTTGTTTTTGGGTTGTTTGTTGTTTTACGGCCCACTCAGCAATATTCCAGCTATATGACGGCGGTCTGTAAATAATCGAATCTGGACCAGAAAATCGTTAGTCCAGACTCGATTATTTACAGACCGCCGTCATATAGCTGCAATATTGATGAGTGCAGCGTTAAACAACAAACAAACAACCACACATCTGGGGCAAAACTGTCACTTTAAAAGAAACCATGATAATGAAAGTCTTCTGAATGCGTCCACCTCGGACTATCTTCTATGGCTTCCTGGGGCGACGCCTCGTCGATGACGTGAGACCCCTGATGACGTCATTGTGTTTGTGGTGCAACTCCTTCAATAAATTTATTACGCCAACGTCAGAGAAAAACTAGTTTCGATTATCCGCTGAAACAGATTCCGTTGGGCGTGAAAAGCAAAATAGCGGTGAATAATATATGAATACAACGCGCGTTCCAGCTGATGGCAGGTTTGGACGTTGACCTTGTTGGCCAGGATGATCCCAGAGACGATCTCTTGGATTATGCGAGCTGTGTGTCCCTGCCATTGTCCTGTTGGAACAGTATCCCTTGTTTGTTTGTTGTTTAACGCCGCACTCATCAATATTGCAGCTATATGACGGCGGTCTGTAAATAATCGAGTCTGGACCAGACAATCAGTGATTGACTTCATGAGCATCGACTGGGCTACATCAACCAACTCAGCGAGCCTGACCACCCGATTGCGTTAGTTGCCTCTTACGACATGCAAAGTCGTTCTCTACCACAACATGGGTTACTGGAGACCAATTCTAACCCGGATCTTTACGGGATAAAGACAAGGTTAAATGCTGCAATGTCATGTGCAGTATGTTTTCTGAAAGGCATATTTGGATATTATTGCTATAACTGAGATTGAATGGAATCGAAGTTCGAGGATGGGTTGCTGAAGACCAGCTCGAATCCGAGAACCAGCTATGTCTTTCACCATCTGCTGCCATGACATCTTCCCGAACAAGGGAGATGGAATTTCTGGGCTCGATCGTGGCGCCACCAGTGGCTATTACGAGTTATGTCCCTTCTTTGTCCCTCCTACTGACCAATCAGATTCCACCTCTCATACCACATGCAATTGCATCACATAATATGGCGTCGCCCAGTGAAGACGATCTGATCGATAATCAAGATCTATTTTGTAATATAACAAGTCTTACTTCGCAAAGTGCAACAAATCACGTGAGCACCTTGATTAAAATCATGAAAAGATTTGTAAATATCTGTTGACGCTAAGTTGTCGGTACACATGCTTTACAAATCCTGCAATCTACCGAAATCTGCACGTCAGTTTACGAACCGGATGTTGATTTCGTTACGCGATTTTGATTGGATTATATATTGACTCGTTATTCCAGCCAAGATCTCACTCCATAATTCCAGCCGAGTTCGGCAAGGGTGGAAACTGGACTTTTAGTGTCAGCTACCCGCTTGTCTAATTCTGGACTTGGCAAGTGGTTGCGTGTCATAGGACTCCGATAGCATTGATAGTTTGTTTACGACCTCTGGCAGCGGTTTGCTTCATCCAGATTTAATAAAAGATGCAGTTGGATTGTGACTGCTGCATTAAACAACACTTACTCACTGAATGTCCTTCGCTGGATGCTAAACATTTATCTATATAGAATGTCTCCTATCATAATTGCTCTTCATGTAAACATAAAAAACACAATGTAAGGCGTCATTCGTTCTTTTCAAAGATAAACGCAAGGTTAGTAGATGCGAGGACGTGCCGTCGAGAGCAACGACAAAAGAAAAGAATTGCATGAAAGACGCCCCCCCCCCCCCCCCCCCCCCTCCCCGAATCGTCCAAACCCACCTCCGATGTATGCCTATCAGGAGCTTTGATCAATGTATTTATAATTGCTTCATACAAAATTATCTGGGGGTGAATTACACTAGAATTTTACATTTGGCTTTCAAAACGACAAACCTTCCCCACCTTTTGTACATACCGGTAACTCAATTAGTAAGCGCAGCCTTATGGAAAATTGCGATGAGTAATACGTTCAAAATACACGTAATACATTATCAAAACGTAGATAGAGTTATGTGTTTGACCGCGCGACAATACAGAGAAGTTTTAGTGTACCAAATTCAACTTTCGTTTGACAAATACTGCAGTTAATAAGTTCTTGCTCTGTGGGTGTCAATTGATTGTAGTGTAAGAGTTTTTTCAATGTTTTTAATGACATACGTCCATACAATCCAAGGAATGCTGAGAGAGCGGGTGATATTGAGTAGACATGGTTAAGGTATGCCCCAATGTACATATAGATCCAGCCTAAACTGTGTCTTCTAGGAGGCGCACAGCGAACTGCGCCGTCTAAAACGACAGGGCCAACCGTGTGTCATTTGAAAAAAGACCGGAATTAAATTAAACAGAAATGCAAAGTGTTTGTTTTTTGCTGTAAAAGTACGTTTGGTTTATGAAAACCGACACAGACAATACGGATATATGAACTAATTTCTATAGCAATGATGAACGATTTGTTTTCATTTTGAGAAAAGCAAACCACATTTGCCTTTGCTACTTTGGTTTAAAAACCATTGGAACTAACATAGGACGTGTGGAGTTTGAAAAGGAGTATAACTATTTCGGTGCATGCGAAGATTAATTCACTTTCTACGCATGCGCACCATTAATCGAAAAGGGCGACAACGCAACAATGTGACACTGCGACATTATCAAATGTCGCGTTGTCGCCCATTTTAACGCCTTTTTTACACGTTTTTGATGGGGATACAATGCGACAACGCGACATACATTGACCTTGAAAAGTGTCACCTTGACGCATTGTCGCGCTTTGGTAAAATAAAAAAACCTCAAAGCGCGACAATGCGACAACGCGACAATGCGACAAATGACCAAAATATCGTGTTGTCGCATCGTCGCGCTTTGGCTAATTTTGGCACTTTTTGCTTATTTTTGCAAGGGCGACAATGTGACAACGCGACAACGCGACAATGTCCCTTATAGTATTCCATATACCACACTGAATACATGTTATCAAATGTGTGGCATACTTTCTCGAATTGTGCACCTGATCTCCTTGAGGTAATTGGGTACTAGGTTACATGAATTCCATTTAAACCTTCTCGTGTCAACAGACTGAATAGTAGGGATAGCCTAGTGGGTAAAGTGTTCGATTGTCACAGGGAAGACTTGGTTCGATTCACATAGTGTTATCTTATATGAAGCTCTTTGTCGTTGTTACCCGCCTTGTCAAGTCTGGAATATTGACGGGTGTCTGTCATGGCCATTTAGCATTGTTGTTGAGCGAACCGCGAGTGGTGCTGTCATTGTGCAGGGTTAGGCGTAACAGGAACCTTTGAACGAGGGTTTGAATCGTTATTTGCCTTGATTATTTATTGTAAGGTAATTTAATAAGTATACACTGATTTGAAAGCAAGTTGATTCCAATTATTTGTTTGTTTGTTTAACGCCGCGCTCAGCAATATTCCAGCCATATGACGGCGGTCTGTTAATAATCGAGTCTGGACCAGACAATCCAGTGATTGATATCATGAGCATCGATTCACGCAATTGGGATACGATGACGTGCATCAACCAAGTCAGCGAGTTTGACCACCCGATCCCGTTAGTCGCCCCTTACGACAAGCATTGTCGCCTATCACGACAAGCATGGGTTGTTGAAGACCTGTTCTAACCCGGATCTTGACAGTGAGTAAGTAAGTTCGGTTTAATGGCGCCTTGAATAGTATTAAGTACTATCGCGGCATGTCAGCTTGACGTTGGAAGAAAGCCGAGGTGATGTATATCTCATGGATTTCTTATGATTATAGAAAGGGCTTTGTCGCTTATCTAACATCAACATCAGTACTCTCTTTAGATCAAATATCAGAGTGAGTGAGTGAGCGAGTTGGCTTAAACGCCGCTTTTAACAGTATTCCAGTTATATCGCAGCGTGTCAGCTTAACGTGGGAGGAAAGCCCGAAGTGATGCAGGTCTCAGACATTTACCACTTTGGTGAAACTCACGAGCATGGGTATGGTGCTGACAAACCTAGAAACATAATTTGGGGCGAACCCACAATCATAGGTTTCTGGCATGCCCAAGGGACACAACTCTGCACAGCAAATAGACGACTGGGCCACCCGTGCCCCCAGTGTTCTGTAGTGTAGTGTAGTGTAGTGTAGTGTAGTGTAGTGTAGTGTAGTGTAGTGTAGTGTAGTGTAGTGTTCTATAGTGTTCTATAGTGTTCTATAGAAGTTCTCCCTGTCACCAAAGGACTCTAAAGGCACAAGGCATCTGTGATAGATGTTATCTGCTATGACGGGGGGTTGCAGGGATCCCCCCCCCCCTCCCCCCCCCCACACACACAGCCTTTTTGAATGACAAATGTACTATCTTTGTAAGCAGTAAAATTGACTGAGGAATTTGATTTTGATGCGTTGGACCCCTCCCTCTTAAAGATGCTGGATCCGCCCTTGAACCAATACCAACAACATGTGAAATTAAACTTGTAAGCATCATCCTCAGCGCTACCTACAACTCAAGGGCGAGAACCCTGGATAGTTGCTCCAAGCTACGTTCTTCAGCAATGGCACTTGACAAATCTGGACTTCTCATCTTGGCGCTCAACCCAATAACAAGTTGAAAACAGCTTTAAACAGTTTGCACAGTCAAACATGACAAGCGTGACCATACTAGCGCTTGAGAGAGAACAGCGCTTTGCACTCAAGATGGCACAGAATCTACCCCGCCGTACAAGATCTGACATTGCAAATGCCTTGCATGGCTGGTTACCTTTAGAATAACAGAATTTATTAGAAAAAGTTGTTTTTCCGTGGTCCCCTATGCAAGTTAGAATCTTTTTCCTCAGAAGATTGTTCTCACATGGCCATGCACACTCCGTCGCGGTGGTGACTCAGCATAACACCACTGCCACAGGCTAATTTGCATATCACGTGACCGGACTTTTCTCTTGTTTGTAAACAAACGCGCTTTTTCAGAAATCAGTATAGAACGGACTAATGCAAGTATTTGGGGGCGCTTTACATATTGTTTTGCATAACTATATAGATATGCTACTACAACTGCGACAGTGAGTTGCATGACAATATATATTTATGCATCAAAGTGACCGTATCGCTAGCTCTCCGTTGGGCTTCGATGACAGCACGTGGAGCCGTACAACCAATGTAAACATAGGATAACTACGCAAAAACAAGTAGATTTTTACGTATTTGCATACTTTCTCAAAGAAAGTTAACCATTCTTTGACATTTGTTTATGAAAATGTGTAGACTTGTCAAACATGAAACGGATGAAAAGCATATGCAATATCTTGAATGGACTGTGAAAGATGTGACGAATCGTCACATGGCGCTGGCCTGTGGCAGAGGTACTATGCTAGCTGGCTCCCGGCCGCATGGAACTCTGGGTAGGAGAGTGATGGCCATGTTGCGGTGTCCTCAGATATTACTCGTATTGGCGTAAAGGGTCGGGTTTTAATTCCTTTGCAAAGAATCCTACGACAGGGCACGATGTACACACACGTGCCAGGTATCGCATTTTTTAAATCAAAATAAGCTAAAATATATTGTTTTCTACTGTTATCAAGTGATAACGCATCTAGAGTGTCGTGTGTTTATGTCCAGTGTCCAGGACATGGTGACGGCACTGGAGGGTCAGCTGTCGAAGACCGTGGGACTCCACACGGGCATGGGCTACGACACCTTCAAACGGTCACTCCAAGTTAGAGATGTGAGTTGCCCACGCTGTGTGTGTTTCTGTGTGTGCGTGCGTGCGTGCGTGCGTGCGTGCGTGCGTGTGTCAATGTGAGAATATGTGTGTGCGTGTGTCAATGTGAGAATATGTCAGTGTTTGTGTAAAAATATTTGTGTGAGTGAGAATATGTGAATGTGTGAGTGTGAATGTGGGTGTGAAAATATGTGAGTGTGTGGGTGTGAATATGAATAAATATGAATATGTTAAAATGTGTGTAAGGAAGAGAAGTCGCATTGTCAACAATATTCCAGCTATACCAGCTTGTAAAGGAGCGAGTCTCGACCAGGAAAACCACCAGCGCACGATGTCCCGTAGCTATATCTCTGTGATCTGGGGCCGTATTCATAAGAAAAGTCTTTGGTTGTTGAAGAAGTCTTTATTTCGAGAAAATTCTACGACATTCTCTTGCATTTGCTGTTCGTTCACGGCTTTGGACTTTCACAAAATAGTCATATAAAAAGCGCGGCAGTGTGTGTCATCATTGATCATTAGAGTGGTTCCCCTTTCATTTGGGTTGCTTCTATATTCATAAAGAAAAAGCACCGAAATATGATTTTGTTTGCGGGAGGACGGTCGGTCAGTCGGCCCGTCGGTCGGCCCGTCGGTCGGCGAATGAATGAATTGATGAATGAATGAATGAATGAATGAATGAATGAATGAATGAATGAATGAATGAGGTATTTTTCTTTCTCAGATATTTCAGTCAGATTAAACCATGCAAAAACCCTGTTTATTGAAGGGGCGGTCGGGTAGCTTAGTTGTTTAAGCGTTCTCTCGTCACGCTGAAGACCCGGGTTCGATTCCCGACATGGGTTCAATGTGTGAAGCCCATTTCTGGTGTCCCCCGTCGTTTTATTGCTGGAATATTGCTAAAAGCGGCGTAAATCCATACTCACTCACTCACTGTTTCATGAAAACCATGTGGGGAATCTACCCAAACCGTACGCACGACGGGTGAACACCTCGCCACAATATCGTTCTGTTCTTTCAAGTTTGCCTCTTAATCGCGGCACGTTCCTGATCCAGTTCCTGATCCAGTTCCTGATCCAGTTCCTGATCCAGTTCCTGATCCAGTTCATGCAGCAGTTCATGCAGCAGCTTCCTCCCATTTCAGTCCTACTTCGCGGAGCGGTTCTTCAAGCTGTTCGACACTGATCACAGTAACTCACTGGAGGTGCTCGAGCTGTTCGCCGCCATCACACGTTTGAGACACGGCACATGTACACAAAAACTCAAGTTCCTCTTTGACGTTTATGACGAGAGTGGTAAGTCTTATCTTCCTTCAATGAGAGGGGTAACCAGCTCCTCTCTGTACTATCGCTGTCACCGCCCACAACTCCTTCCATTGTGCTAAAGGATTGGCTCGCAGACCAGACGAAAGGAGACCAAATTCTCATCACACTGGGTACCTGATAGTTGATATGAAATAGAATAGCTGTTGAAAAACACAACAATAAAGCTATATTGTTGGTCCGCCAGCTCAAGTCGATTTCACTGCAAATAGAAAGTAGAGTAAAGAGTTTGGACTGATGGCATTGAAAGTGAAGAGAGCTCCGGGGATGCGGGGAGCTTTGAGAGATAGGTGTTTGTGTATTCATGGTGTATATTACCACTGTTCTTCCTTCTAGGTGATGGTTATATCGACATGGTGTATACACTGCTCTCACTTCTCTGAGACGGTTATATCGACATTATGTATAGTATTACCACTGTTCTTCCTTCTAGGTGACGGTTATATTGACATGGTGTATACACTGTTCTTTCTTCCAGGTGATGGTTATATCGACATGGTGTATACACTGTTCTTCCGTCCAGGTGATGGTTATATCGACATGGAGTATAGACTGTTCTTCCTTCTATGTGATGGTTATATCGACATGATATATACACTGTTCTTTCTTTCAGGTGATGGTTATATCGACATGGTGTATACACTGTTCTTCCTTCTAGGTGATGGTTATATCGACATGTAGTATACACTGTTCTTCCTTCTACGTGATGGTTATATCGACATGGTGTATACACTGTTCTTCCTTCTAGGTGACGGTTATATCGACATGGTGTATACACTGTTCTTCCTTTTAGGTGATGGTTATATCGACATGGTGTATACACTGTTCTTCCTTCTAGGTGATGGTTATATCGACATTATGTATAGTATTACCACTGTTCTTCCTTCTAGGTGACGGTTATATCGACATGGTGTATACACTGTTCTTCCTTCTAGGTGATGGTTATATCGACATGGTGTATACACTGTTCTTCCTTCTAGGTGATGGTTATATCGACATTATGTATAGTATTACCACTGTTCTTCCTTCTAGGTGACGGTTATATCGACATGGTGTATACACTGCTCTCACTTCTCTGAGACGGTTATATCGACATTATGTATAGTATTACCACTGTTCTTCCTTCTAGGTGACGGTTATATTGACATGGTGTATACACTGTTCTTTCTTCCAGGTGATGGTTATATCGACATGGTGTATACACTGTTCTTCCGTCCAGGTGATGGTTATATCGACATGGAGTATAGACTGTTCTTCCTTCTATGTGATGGTTATATCGACATGATATATACACTGTTCTTTCTTTCAGGTGATGGTTATATCGACATGGTGTATACACTGTTCTTCCTTCTAGGTGATGGTTATATCGACATGTAGTATACACTGTTCTTCCTTCTACGTGATGGTTATATCGACATGGTGTATACACTGTTCTTCCTTCTAGGTGACGGTTATATCGACATGGTGTATACACTGTTCTTCCTTTTAGGTGATGGTTATATCGACATGGTGTATACACTGTTCTTCCTTCTAGGTGATGGTTATATCGACATTATGTATAGTATTACCACTGTTCTTCCTTCTAGGTGACGGTTATATCGACATGGTGTATACACTGTTCTTCCTTCTAGGTGATGGTTATATCGACATGGTGTATACACTGTTCTTCCTTCTAGGTGATGGTTATATCGACATTATGTATAGTATTACCACTGTTCTTCCTTCTAGGTGACGGTTATATCGACATGGAGTATACACTGTTCTTCCTTCTAGGTGATGGTTATATCGACATGGTGTATACACTGTTCTTCCTTCTAGGTGATGGTTATATCGACATTATGTATAGTATTACCACTGTTCTTCCTTCTAGGTGACGGTTATATCGACATGGTGTATACACTGTTCCTCCTTCTAGGTGATGGTTATATCGACATGGTGTATAGACTGTTCTTCCTTCTAGGTGACGGTTATATCGACATGGTGTATACACTGTTCTTCCTTCTAGGTGACGGTTATATCGACATGGTGTATACACTGTTCTTCCTTCCGGGTGACGGTTATATCGTCATAGAGTATATACTGTTCTTTCTTCTAGGTGATGGTTATATCGACATGGAGTATACACTGTTCTTCCTTCCATGTGACAGTTATATCGACATAGAGTATATACTGTTCTTTTTTCTAGGTGATGGTTATATCGACATGTAGTATATACTGTTCTTTCTTCTAGGTGATGGTTATATCGACATAGAGTATATACTGTTCTTTCTTCTAGGTGGAGGTTATTTGGACACTGAGTATATACTGTTCTTTCTTCTAGGTGATGGTTATATCGACATGGAGTATATACTGTTCTTTCTTCTAGGTGACGGCTATATCGACATGGTGTATACACTGTTCTTCCTTCCATGTGCCGGTTATATCGACATGGTGTATACACTGTTCTTCCTTCTAGGTGATGGTTATATCGACATGGTGTATAGACTGTTCTTCCTTCTAGGTGATGGTTATATCGACATGGAGTATACACTGTTCTTCCTTCTATGTGATGGTTATATCGACATGGTGTATACACTGTTCTTCCTTCTAGGTGATGGTTATATCGACATGGTGTATAGACTGTTCTTCCTTCTATGTGATGGTTATATCGACATGGAGTATACACTGTTCTTCCTTCTAGGTGATGGTTATATCGACATGGTGTATACACTGTTCTTCCTTCTAGGTGATGGTTATATCGACATGGTGTATAGACTGTTCTTCCTTCTATGTGATGGTTTTATCGACATGGAGTATACACTGTTCTTTCTTCTAGGTGATGGTTATATCAACATGGTGTATAGACTGTTCTTCCTTCTATGTGATGGTTATATCGACATGGAGTATACACTGTTCTTCCTTCTATGTGATGGTTATATCGACATGGTGTATAAACGGTTGTTCCTTCTAGGTGATTGTTATATCGACATGGTGTATAGACTGTTCTTCCTTCTATGTGATGGTTATATCGACATGGTGTATAGACTGTTCTTCCTTCTAGGTGATTGTTATATCGACATGGTGTATAGACTGTTCTTCCTTCTATGTGATGGTTATATCGACATGGAGTATACACTGTTCTTTCTTCTAGGTGATGGTTATATCGACATGGTGTATACACTGTTCTTCCTTCTAGGTGACGGTTATATCGACATGGAGTATACACTGTTCTTCCTTCTAGGTGATGGTTATATCGACATGGTGTATAGACTGTTCTTCCTTCTAGGTGATGATTATATCGACATGGAGTATAGACTGTTCCTCCTTCTATGTGATGGTTATATCGACATGGTGTATAGACTGTTCTTCCTTCTATGTGATGGTTATATCGACATGGAGTATACATGGTTCTTCCTTCTATGTGATGGTTATATCGACATGGAGTATACGCTGTGCTTCCTTTTAGGTGACGGTTATATAGACATGGTGTAGACACTGTTCATCCTTCCAGGTGATGGTTATGTCGACATCGAGGAGTTACGGACGGCGTTGCGGTCGTGTATGGTGGAGAGCTCGGTGAAGCTGGGGGAGGAGGAACTGGACATGCTGACTCAGGCATTATTTGAGGACGCAGATGAAGACAAGAACGGAGAAATTTCCTTCGAGGAACTTGAATCTGCTATTGATAGACATCCCGGGCTAAAGGAGAGTTTGTGTCTGAGGTGAGCGTGTTGCTGAGGACGTTGCACTTAAACCCATGACGGCTGACCACCATCATTGAGGAGGAAAACCAGAAAGGACGCTCATCACAAATGTTTGGCACCGTGGTGAAACCAGGATCTCTGACCAACCCGTGCCTTCCGTAAAAGGAATGAATTAGTAATCTACTGAGTGAGTTGGGTTTGACGCCGCTTTTCGGAATATTCCAGCAATATCACGATTGAGGACACCAGAAATGGGCTTCACACATTGTACCCATGTGGGGAATCGAACCCGGGCCTTTGGTGTGATGAGAGAACGCTTTAACCTGTAGTTTTCACCATTGTCCCTGAAACGAATGAAAAACTCAATAGGGATCAAACAGTTGATTGTCTCCCTTGGTTGTATGATGACACTCTATGAGAGGGTAGCGTAAAGTGTGTCTTTTCGGGTGTCATTTCTGTTTCCGAACGCTGCTCAAACTTTCATCTTTTATGACCCGAATCTGCATCACCTCGTGACTATGGCTCGGCATAGGGCTTTAAGGGGCTAAAACAAGGACTGGTCGGCTCGGAGTCAGTATACTGTGTCAGAGTGGGGTATTCATGTTAAACTGCCGCATGGTATCTCAGTGGGCTTGCACTATAAATCACATACACACACACACACACACACACACACACACACACACACACACACACACACACACACACACACACACACACACACTCACCTCACCTCACCTCACCTCACCTCACCTCACCTCACCTCCTATGATTATGGCTTCGAATCCCGGTTCGCCCCGATTATGTTTCTAGGTTTGTCAGCACTATACCCGTGCTCGTGGGTTTCACCGAAGTGGTAAACGTCTGAGACCTGCATCACTTCGGGCTTTCCTCCCACATTAAACTGACACGCCGCGATATAACTGTAATACTGTTAAAAGCGGCGTTAAAACCAACTCACTCACCTCACCTTCCTCCAACACTAAGCTGACACGCCATTGTACAAAGCGAACTTAGCGTTAAGGTGATCATTATTTCCATACCATCATATAGATTTTTTCACAACGGCACCATGAAAAATTGTTTGAAGCGGAGTGAAGCCCAAACCATTCACTCACTTAAAGCGTTCGCTCGTCACGCCGAAGACCCGGGTTCGATTCCCGACATGGGTACAATGTGTGAAGCCCATTTCTGGTGTCCCCTGCCGTGATATTGCTGGAATATTGCTAAAAGCGGCGTAAAACCATACTCACTCACTCACTTAATATACGTCTTTTCTTTGAAGCCTGGACCAGTGGCTGAAACCTCCACTAACAAGCAGAAAACAGACGTTGCTCCAGTACTATTTCTCGAAGCAGTACTTCTTTAACAACCCCCGGAAGATATCCTTCTTCGCCATGTTGATGCTCCTCAACTGCATCCTGTTTGCTGTGGGCTGCTGGAACTACCGGACATCCAACTGGTGCATCATTGTAGCCAGAGGATGCGGCCTCTGTCTCAACTTCGACTGCACCTTCATAGTTGTCCTCATGCTCCGGAAGTGCATCACCTGGCTGCGTGCGACGCCTGCTAGCCACGTGCTTCCGCTCGACCAGCATATTATATTTCATAAGCTAACGGGCATCTTGATAATGCTGTTCACTGTGGTGCATACCGCCTTGCACATTGGAAACGCAGGTAAGAAGACAAGAAATCTAGAAATCAGCATGAGACTAATGCTTGATAAAAAATTGAACTAACAAAAATGCATCTTGGCATTAATGCCAAATGCTCGGGTTCCATATTGATGAAAGCCACGTTCATGTATCATAGCTGAGTGAACGAACGAACGAACGAACGAGCGAATAAGGTATCTTACTTCATCAGATATTTCAGAAAATTAATAGTAGGTAGTGATTTAATATAATAATTGTATATCTGGGGAGCAGATGACCATGTTGTGTTTGTTTGTTTGTTGTATGACGGCGGTCCGTATATAGTCGAGTCTGACAGACAATCCAGTGATGAACGTCATGAGCATCGATCCACGCAATTGGGATCGATGACATGCATCAACCAAGTCAGCGAGCCTGACCACCCGATCCCGTTAGACGCCTTTTACGACAAGCATATCCACCTTTTACGGCCAGCATGGGTTGCTGAAGACCTATTCTATCCCGGATCTTCACGGGTCTCCATGTTGTGAGGTGGTGTTTGAGATGTCAATTGTACACTACAGTCATGGTTGCCGAGAGTCAGTTCAACCTGACAGTGTCTGTCTTTATCTTTGTTGCAGTCATGGTAGCCGAGAGTCAGTTCAACCTGACAGTGTCTGTATTTACGTTTGTTGCAGTCATGGTAGCCGAGAGTCAGTTCAACCTGACAGTGTCTGTCTTTATCTTTGTTGCAGTCATGGTAGCCGAGAGTCAGTACAACCTGACAGTGTCTGTCTTTATGTTTGTTGCAGTCATGGTAGCCGACAGTCAGTTCAACCTGACAGTGTCTGTATTTACGTTTGTTGCAGTCATGGTAGCCGAGAGTCAGTTCAACCTGACAGTGTCTGTCTTTATCTCTGTTGCAGTCATGGTAGCTAAGAGTCAGTTCAACCTGACAGTGTCTGTCTTTATGTTTGTTGCAGTCATGGTAGCTGAGAGTCAGTACAACCTGACAGTGTCTGTCTTTATGTTTGTTGCAGTCATGGTAGCCGAGAGTCAGTACAACCTGACAGTGTCTGTATTTATTTTTCTTTGCAGTCATGGTAGCCGAGAGTCAGTTCAACCTGACAGGGTCTGTATTTATCTTTGTTGCAGTCATGGTAGCCGAGAGTCAGTTCAACCTGACAGTGTCTGTCTTTATCTTTGTTGCAGTCATGGTAGCCGAGAGTCAGTACAACCTGACAGTGTCTGTCTTTATGTTTGTTGCAGTCATGGTAGCCGACAGTCAGTTCAACCTGACAGTGTCTGTATTTACGTTTGTTGCAGTCATGGTAGCCGAGAGTCAGTTCAACCTGACAGTGTCTGTCTTTATCTCTGTTGCAGTCATGGTAGCCGAGAGTCAGTTCAACCTGACAGTGTCTGTCTTTATGTTTGTTGCAGTCATGGTAGCTGAGAGTCAGTACAACCTGACAGTGTCTGTCTTTATGTTTGTTGCAGTCATGGTAGCCGACAGTCAGTTCAACCTGACAGTGTCTGTATTTACGTTTGTTGCAGTCATGGTAGCCGAGAGTCAGTTCAACCTGACAGTGTCTGTCTTTATCTTTGTTGCAGTCATGGTAGCCGAGAGTCAGTTCAACCTGACAGTGTGTGTCTTTATGTTTGTTGCAGCCATGGTAGCCGAGAGTCAGTTCAACCTGACAGTGTCTGTCTTTATGTTTGTTGCAGTCATGGTAGCCGAGAGTCAGTACAACCTGACAGTGTCTGTATTTGTCTTTGTTGCAGTCATGGTAGCCGACAGTCAGTACAACCTGACAGTGTCTGTCTTTATGTTTGTTGCAGTCATGGTAGCCGAGAGTCAGTTCAACCTGACAGTGTCTGTCTTTATGTTTGTTGCAGTCATGGTACCCGAGAGTCAGTTCAACCTGACAGTGCCTGTCTTTATGTTTGTTGCAGTCATGGTAGCCGAGAGTCAGTTCAACCTGACAGTGTCTGTATTTATGTTTTTTGCAGTCATGGTAGCTAAGAGTCAGTTCAACCTGACAGTGTCTGTCTTTATGTTTGTTGCAGTCATGGTAGCCGAGAGTCAGTTCAACCTGACAGTGTCTGTCTTTATGTTTGTTGCAGCCATGGTAGCCGAGAGTCAGTTCAACCTGACAGTGTCTGTCTTTATGTTTGTTGCAGTCATGGTAGCCGAGAGTCAGTACAACCTGACAGTGCCTGTCTTTATGTTTGTTGCAGTCATGGTAGCCGAGAGTCAGTTCAACCTGACAGTGCCTGTCTTTATGTTTGTTGCAGTCATGGTAGCCGAGAGTCAGTTCAACCTGACAGTGTCTGTATTTATGTTTTTTGCAGTCATGGTAGCTAAGAGTCAGTTCAACCTGACAGTGTCTGTCTTTATGTTTGTTGCAGTCATGGTACCCGAGAGTCAGTTCAACCTGACAGTGTCTGTATTTATGTTTTTTGCAGTCATGGTAGCTAAGAGTCAGTTCAACCTGACAGTGTCTGTATTTATCTTTGTTGCAGTCATGGTAGCTAAGAGTCAGTTCAACCTGACAGTGTCTGTATTTATCTTTGTTGCAGTCATGGTAGCCGAGAGTCAGTTCAACCTGACAGTGTCTGTATTTATGTTTTTTGCAGTCATGGTAGCTAAGAGTCAGTTCAACCTGACAGTGTCTGTATTTATCTTTGTTGCAGTCATGGTAGCCGAGAGTCAGTTCAACCTGACAGTGTCTGTATTTATGTTTTTTGCAGTCATGGTAGCTAAGAGTCAGTTCAACCTGACAGTGTCTGTATTTATGTTTTTTGCAGTCATGGTAGCTAAGAGTCAGTTCAACCTGACAGTGTCTGTATTTATCTTTGTTGCAGTCATGGTAGCCGAGAGTCAGTTCAACCTGACAGTGTGTGTATTTATGTTTTTTTGCAGTCATGGTAGCTAAGAGTCAGTACAACCTGACAGTGCCTGTCTTTATGTTTGTTGCAGTCATGGTAGCTAAGAGTCAGTTCAACCTGACAGTGTCTGTATTTATCTTTGTTGCAGTCATGGTAGCTAAGAGTCAGTTCAACCTGACAGTGTCTGTATTTATCTTTGTTGCAGTCATGGTAGCCGAGAGTCAGTTCAACCTGACAGTGTCTGTATTTATGTGTTTTGCAGTCATGGTAGCTAAGAGTCAGTTCAACCTGACAGTGTCTGTATTTATCTTTGTTGCAGTCATGGTAGCCGAGAGTCAGTTCAACCTGACAGTGTCTGTATTTATGTTTTTTGCAGTCATGGTAGCTAAGAGTCAGTTCAACCTGACAGTGTCTGTATTTATGTTTTTTGCAGTCATGGTAGCTAAGAGTCAGTTCAACCTGACAGTGTCTGTATTTATCTTTGTTGCAGTCATGGTAGCCGAGAGTCAGTTCAACCTGACAGTGTCTGTATTTATGTTTTTTGCAGTCATGGTAGCTAAGAGTCAGTACAACCTGACAGTGCCTGTCTTTATGTTTGTTGCAGTCATGGTAGCCGAGAGTCAGTTCAACCTGACAGTGTCTGTCTTTATGTTTGTTGCAGTCATGGAAGCCGAGAGTCAGTTCAACCTGACAGTGTCTGTATTTATGTTTTTTGCAGTCATGGTAGCTAAGAGTCAGTACAACTTGACAGTGTCTGTATTTATGTTTTTTGCAGTCATGGTAGCTAAGAGTCAGTACAACCTGACAGTGTCTGTCTTTATGTTTGTTGCAGTCATGGTAGCCGAGAGTCAGTACAACCTGACAGTGCCTGCCTTCATCTTCACCACACAAGCGGACATCGGCTGGGTGGCCGGCTTCGCTCCTCTCTCTGGTGTTCTGCTCGTCGTCGTCTTCGTCATCATGTTCATCTGCTCTATGCCCTTCGTCAGGAGAAGTGGCTATTTTCAGGTAGAGGATGATACAGTGGGGCTACTTTGAGGTCAAATACCACAGTGTTTGAGCCAGTGGGCGGCTGAGGAACTGACCATTTGATATTCTTGGGATGCCTGGTTTTTTTTTGACGAGATAATATATTTTTTCAGCCACAGCTATAGAAGCAGATATTTTTAAAATTTAAAATTATTAGCCTGAATTTGTTTTAAGAAAAACACCTTGCAACAATATGGTTTTTGTTGCATTTGTTTCAACAGTCTGAAGCATAGTTTTGACAAGAATTTCGGGGAAAACTTATTTTTTCGATAACATCCAAGGCCTCAGCAGGAAGGTGGTGAAATGGGGTTTAACGTCGCGTCCAAGATTATTGCACTTATATAGCGACGTGCGTGTACGTGTGTGTGTTTGTGTGGCTGCTTGTACTAGTCCGGACTGATGCCGATTTATAGTGCTAGCGCACTGAGATGCCATGCCGCTGTTTAACATGAATACCCCAGACACAGTATACTGACTCCGAGCCGACCAGTCCTTGTTTTAGCCCCTTAATGCCGAGCGCCAGACAGGGTAACAACAAGTACCATCTTTTAACGGCTTTTGGTATGACGCGGTCGGGGATCGAACCCCGGACCGTCCGCTCTACCACTAGACCACAGAGGCGGTCCCCACCAAGAATATCAAATGGTCAGCCCCTAACACCTGATCACTGAACAAAGCATCAGTTACATGGGTTAATTTTTTTTTTTAATGTGTAGTTTTTCTGGCATCACCATGTAAAGGTGACGTACTACAAACACATAATATACCCTTTGTTAGCTACAAGCACATGATCCACGTGCACCCTCTTTGTTTATATGTTGGCTGAAGCATATGATCCAATTATTGTCTGTTAAGCATTAAGGCGTTTTGGTGACATTTTCAGTGTGTTGACCAAAACGCCGAAACATACTGGTGTGTCTCTCGGGCGTGCCATACAGTGGTGTTTCCTCGAGGTTTGAATCCTGTTTCATCCTAATTATGGATGCACCAGACCTGTGCTCGTGGGGTTTCATCAAAGTGGTAAACGTCTGAGACCTGCATCACTTCGGGCTTTCCTCCCACAATAAGCTGACACGCCGCGATAGAACTGTTGATGCTCACTCACTCACTCACTCACTCACTCACTCACTCACCCACTCACCCACTCACTCACTCACTCACTCACTCACTCACTCTTCAGGTTTTCTACTGGACTCACATGTTGTACGTGATCTTCTGGGTCTTCTTGATTCTTCACGCACGCCATTTCTGGAAGTGGTTCCTCGTGCCGGGCGCCATGTTTATTCTGGAGAAAATATCCCGGTCTAAAGTGATCAAGAGAATTTCTTACGGCAATACCTTCATAACGGAAATCAACCTTCTGCCATCTCAGGTAGGCTGTATAAGATATTCTGCCTTCGTTTGCTCGTTGTTCTCAAATCAGAAAATAGAGACTGTTTTCTTCTGTACAAAAAGACTTTTAGCCCGCTTCGATGTTTCTCTTTCACACTGTATACCATCAGTAAGAGATGCCATCTTAAAAGGACGTTTGGGTTTCTTGTCATATTTCATCTCATCTCGTGACCTGATAAAATGGATTTTTTTGATCCGTGTTTGCCCAACACGTCAAATAATCAACTTCGAAAAATCATTCAAAACGGTAAAGTTGAAGAAATAAGTCATTTACCGGTTTATGAATGTAAATTGTGAAAACGAGCTGACCGGACGTTTGTTTGGTTGGTTTGTTGTTTAACGCCGCACTCGGCAATATTCGAGCTCTATGACGGCTTTCTGTAAATAATCGAATCTGGACCAGATAATCCAGTGATTGATATCATGAGCATGGATCCACGCAATTGGGATACGATGATATGCATCAACCACGTCAGCGAGCCTGACCACCCGATCCCGTTAGTCGGCTCTTACGACAAGCATAGTCGCCATTTACGGCAAGCATGGGTTGCTGAAGACCTATTCTAACACGAATCTTCACGAGTCGAACTCCTTCTTTATAGTTTGTGTTTTATAGTTTTCGTTTGGCTAACACTTCAAAATCAATGAATGACTTCAAGTTACAAATCTCGCTGCTAACATTTGAAGCTGCTTCCGTGGTCCTATCACGGCAATAGACTTCTAGCTCTAGCTCTAGCTCTAGCTCTATCTAGCTCTAGCTCTAGCTCTATCTAGCTCGCATATGTCAACTCAAGTGGATGAAACTTCAAAACGCACTCGGGTGAGATTTCATTTATCATCCAAAATTATTCTTCCAACGTTTTCAGTTTGTGAACAGTAACAAGCAGTTTCGTAAGTTTACAAATAGCTTGACTATGTATATTCATGTATTTATTTGAATCCCCGTATGGGAGAAGAGTTGCTAATACAGCTTACCAGTTTAAGTATATATTAAGAAGAATAGTGATGTCATTTCATTGTGATGTCATGGTTACCAGTAATAAGTGACAATATTAGTAGAATCTTGTCTTTATAGCAACATTTCCCTATTGATCTCTTGATTTATGAACTGTACTCACACACGCAACTGAACTTTCGGTATTAGGTGACTCATCTTGTGATCTCGAAGCCTCCCAATATGAAATTCCGACCCGGGGACTATGTGTTCCTGCAGATCCCAGACATCGCTAAATATGAGTGGCATCCCTTTACCATAAGCAGCGCCCCCGAACTGGAAGGTAGGTTTCACCATAAAGCGTCCCTGAACAGGAAGGTAGGTCTCACCATAAAGCGTCCCTGAACAGGAAGGTAGGTCTCACTAAAAGGCGTCCCTGAACTGGAAGGTAGGTCTCACCATAAAGCACCCCTGAACAGGAAGGTAGGTCTCACCATAAAGCGTCCCTGAACAGGAAGGTAGGTCTCACCATAAAGCACCCCTGAACAGGAAGGTAGGTCTCACTAAAAGGCGTCCCTGAACAGGAAGGTAGGTCTCACCATAAAGCACCCCTGAACAGGAAGGTAGGTCTCACCATAAAGCACCCCTGAACAGGAAGGTAGGTCTCACCATAAAGCGTCCCTGAACAGGAAGGTAGGTCTCACCATAAAGCGTCCCTGAACCGGAAGGTAGGTCTCACTAAAAGGCGTCCCTGAACTGGAAGGTAGGTTTCACCATAAAGCACCCCTGAACAGGAAGGTAGGTCTCACCATAAAGCGTCCCTGAACTGGAAGGTAGGTTTCACCATAAAGCACCCCTGAACAGGAAGGTAGGTCTCACCATAAAGCGTCCCTGAACCGGAAGGTAGGTCTCACCATAAAGCACCCCTGAACTGGAAGGTAGGTTTCACCATAAAGCACCCCTGAACAGGAAGGTAGGTCTCACCATAAAGCGTCCCTGAACCGGAAGGTAGGTCTCACCATAAAGCTTCCCTGAACAGGAAGGTAGGTCTCACCATAAAGCGTCCCTGAACTGGAAGGTAGGTTTCACCATAAAGCACCCCTGAACAGGAAGGTAGGTCTCACCATAAAGCGTCCCTGAACCGGAAGGTAGGTCTCACCATAAAGCGTCCCTGAACTGGAAGGTAGGTCTCACCATAAAGCGTCCCTGAACTGGAAGGTAGGTCTCACCATAAAACTTCCCTTAACAGGAAGGTAGGTCTCACTATCAAGCGCCCCTGAACTGGAAGGTAAGTTTCACCATCAGGCGTCCCTGAACTGTAAGGTAGGTCTCACCATAAGACGTCCCTGAACTGGAAGGTAGATCTGTCCATAAAGCGTCCCTGAACTATAAGGTTGGCCTCACCATAAAGCGCCCCTGAACTGGAAGGTAGGTTTCACCATGAATCTGACTGTATAGAGACTAGGTAATTTTTCTTGCTTCTACATTCATGCGTCTAATTATATAAGGCGCCGCGATTCGCTGTGCAGAGTTGCGTCCCGTGGGCACGCCAGAAACCTATGATTATGGGTTCGAATCCCGGTTCGCCCCGATTCTGTTCTAGGTTTGTCAGCACCATACCCGTGCTCGTGGGTTTCACCGAAGTGGTAAACGTCTGAAACCTGCATCACTTCGGGCTTTCCTCCCACATTAAGCTGACACGCCACGATATAACTGTAATACTGTTAAAAGCGGCGTTAAACTCAACTCACTCACTCACTTTACCGTTATTCTCTGTTTGCAGGCAAGCTATGGGTGCACGTACGATCCACTGGACATTGGACTAACAAACTGAATGACTATTTCAATGCCTATGACGAACGAAGAAATTCCACTATGTATTCTCAAAGTCACGACAACGGAGGTGAGTGAGTGAGTGAGTGTGGTTATACGCCGCTTTTAGCAATATTCCAGCAATATCACGGCGGGGGACACCAAAAATTCACACATTGCACCCATGTCGCGAATCGAACCCGGGTCTTCGGCGTGACGAGCGAACGCTTTAACCACTAGGCTACCCGACCGCCCCCACCAACGGAGGTATGCTTTAAATATTAGTTTCCTTAGCCGCATATTTTGATAATCGTAATTGGTTCTAGTCTAGTCAATAAATTTAACAAAAGTATAACTGATCCTATGGTGATATATTTAGAATGCTTGAGTGGGTGAGTGAGCTGGATTTTACGCCGTTTTAAATAGTATTCCAGTTGTATCACGGCGCGTCAGATTAATGTGGGAGGAAACCCCGAAGTGATGCAGGTTTCAGACGTTTACCTCTTTGCTGAAACCACGAGTACGGGTATGGTGCTGACAAACCTAGAAACTTCAAAATTTAAAAGAATGTTTAAAAGCGGCGAAAAATCATATTCACTCGTTCTGTTTTGTTCCAGGTCTCCTGTCCCCGGTAGAGATGCAGAGTCACACATCTATAACTGTTAATATGAAGCCGATCAATCTGGTAAACACCCCTTTATCTTCATCCCCGCCAGAGACCTACTCGGAGACCCCCTTTAAGGTAAGCCGACATGGATGTGTCTAGACATATTCCGAGACCTCGAAGGTAACCAACAAGGATGTATCTAGACCTACTCAGAGACCTTGAAGGTAAGTCGACATGGATGTATCTAGACCTACTCAGAGACCTTGAAGGTAAGTCGACATGGATGTATCTAGACCTACTCAGAGACCTTGAAGGTAAGTCGACATGGATGTATCTAGACCTACTCAGAGACCTTAAAGGTAAGTCGACATGGATGTATCTAGACCAACTCAGAGACCTTGAAGGTAAGTCGACATGGATGTATCTAGACCTACTCAGAGACCTTAAAGGTAACCAACAAGGATGTATCTAGACCTACTCAGAGACCTTGAAGGTAAGTCGACATGGTTGTATCTAGACCTACTCAGAGACCTTGAAGGTAAGTCGACATGGATGTATCTAGACCAACTCAGAGGCCTTCTTGAAGCCAAGTCGACATGGATGTATCTAGACCAACTCAGAGGCCTTCTTTATGGTAAGTCGACATGGATGTATCTAGACATACTCAGAGGCCTTCTTTAAGGTAAGTCGACATGGATGTATCTAGACCAACTCAGAGACATTCTTTAAGGTAAGTCGACATGGATGTATCTAGACCAACTCAGGGGCCTTCTTTATGGTAAGTCGACATGGATGTATCTAGACATACTCAGAGGCCTTCTTTAAGGTAAGTCGACATGGATGTATCTAGACCTACTCAGAGACCTTGAAGGTAAGTCGACATGGATGTATCTAGACCTACTCAGAGACCTTGAAGGTAAGTCGACATGGATGTATCTAGACCTACTCAGAGACCTCCTTTAAGGTAAGTGGACATGAATGTATCTAGACCTACTCAGAGACCTTGAAGGCAAGCCGACATGGATGTATTCTAGACATACTCAGAGGACTTGAAGGTCAGTCGACATGGATGTATCTAGACCTACTCAGAGACCTCCTTTAAGGTAAGTGGACATGAATGTATCTAGACCTACTCAGAGACCTTGAAGGCAAGCCGACATGGATGTATCTAGACCAACTCAGGGGCCTTGAAGGCAAGCCGACATGGATGTATCTAGACCAACTCAGGGGCCTCCTTTAAGGTAAGTGGACATGAATGTATCTAGACCTACTCAGAGACCTTGAAGGCAAGCCGACATGGATGTATTCTAGACATACTCAGAGGCCTTCTTTAAGGTAAGTCGACATGGATGTATTCTAGACCTACTCAGGGACATTCTTTAAGGTAAGTCGACATGGATGTATCTAGACCAACTCAGGGGCCTTCTTTATGGTAAGTCGACATGGATGTATCTAGACCTACTCAGTTACCTTGAAGGTAAGTCGACATGAATGTATCTAGACCTACTATTGGGATCGATGACATGCATCAACCAAGTCAGCGATCCTGACCACCCGATCCCGTTAGTCGCCTTTTACGACAAGCATAGTCGCCTTTTACGGCAAGTATGGGTTGCTGAAGACCTATTCTACCCCGGAATCTTCACGGGTCTAATCTTAATAAAACATATTTGCACACGTGACACTTGCGTGATAAATAGAATGAGTGAGTGAGTGAGTGAGTGAGTGAGTAAGGAAAGGTGGACGGTTGTAGCGAGGAAAGTATACCATATTAGATGTTTTACGTCTTTACGAGTGGAGTACATCACTGTATGAGTCGTTGTTATTTCACAGAGACGAGACCGTGGCGCTGGTGATACACACAAGGATGTACACGTGCAGGTAAGAGCTACGTAGTGCAACATTTTGTTTGTTTGTTTCACGCTGCACTCAGCGGCCTGTCTATAATGACGTCTTTTCTCACAACATGGTGATTTGAATGATGACTCAGGTACGGCCCGAATGATGACCTGGATACGGTCCGAATGATGACCTAAATACGGTCCGAATGATGCTCAGGTACGGTCCGAATGATGACCTTGACACGGTCCGAAAGATGACTCAGATACGGCCCGAATGATGACCTGGATACGGTCCGAAAGATGACTCAGATACGGCCCGAATGATGACCTGGATACGCTCCGAATGATAACCTAGATACGGTCCGAATGGTGACCTAGATACGGTCCGAAAGATGACTCAGCGAGGCCCGAATGATGACCTGGATACGGTCCGAATGATAACCTAGATACGGTCCGAGTCATGACCTATATACGGTCCGAATGATGACCTAGATACTGCCCGAATGATGACTCAGGTACGGTCTGAATGATGACCTAGATACCGTCCGAATGATTACTCAGGTACGGCCCGTATGATGACCTGGATACGGTCCGAATTATAACCTAGATACGGTCCGTATGACTCAGGTACGGCCCGAATAACGACTCAGGTACGGCCCGCTTGATGACCTAGATACGGCCCGAATAACGACTCAGGTACGGCCCGCTTGATGACCTAGATACGGCCCGAATAAAGACTCAGGTACGGCCCGCTTGATGACCTAGATACGGCCCGAATGACGACTCAGGTACGGTCCGAATGATGACCTAGATACGGTCCGAATGATGACCTAGATACGGTCTGAAAGATGACCTGGATACGGTCCGAATGATGACCTAGATACGGTCCGAATGATGCTCAGGTACGGTCCGAATGATGACCTTGATACGGTCCGAAAGATGACTCAGATACGGCCCGAATGATGACCTTGACACGGTCCGAAAGATGACTCAGGTACGGCCCGAATGATGACCTAGATACGGTCCGAAAAATGACTCAGGTCCGGCCCGAATGATGTCCTGGATACGGTCCGAATGATAACCTAGATACGGTCCGAATGGTGACCTAGATACGGTCCGAAAGATGACTCAGGTACGGCCCGAATGATGACCTAGATACGGTCCGAATGATAACCTAGATACGGTCCGAGTCATGACCTAGATACGGTCCGAATGGTGACCTAGATACGGTCCGAAAGATGACTCAGCTCCGGCCCGAATGATGACCTAGATACGGTCCGAATGGTGACCCAGATACGGTCCGAATGATAACCTAGATACGGTCCGAGTGATGACCTAGATACGGTCCGAATGATGACTCAGGTACGGTCCGTATCGTGACTCAACTTTTTTCTTGCAGTGTTACATGGACGGGCCTTATGGCACTTGCTCTAGGGCAATATTTGAAACCGAGCACGCTGTTCTGATTGGCTCCGGTATCGGCGTGACTCCCTACGCCTCCATCCTACAGAGCATCATGTACAGGTTCAAAGCCTACAAGAGATGCTGCCCCAGCTGTACCCACTCCTGGTATGATGAAGTACCGCCACACGTCATGAACCTCAAGAAGGTCAGTACCAGCATGGCGTGGTTGGAGCTTGGTAATAGTAGTTAGCACCGCAGTAACGAGGGATTCATGAGTTGTTGTCTCAACATTTAATTTGTTTTTTTTATTGATCATGACATTTGTTCGAAAATATGTTAACAGCGTTAAAACAGAAATCACTTCTTGATCAAGAAATTAAAAGAAAGGTCTAAAAATGATCCAATTCCACGGAGGATAGCTTATGATATGCATCATTGAGTACATAATTTCTGTAATAACATCGCTGTTATATTTTTGATATTTTTTATACATTTAAATATAGTTTGTATGCCGTTTATACCAAAGTGGGGGCACGGGTGTCCCAGTCGTCTAAGGCGCCGCGATTCGCTGTGCAGAGTTTTGTCCCTTGGGCACGCCATGAACCTATGATTGTGGGTCCGAATCCCGGTTCGCCCCGATTATGTTTCTAGGTTTGTCAGCACCATTCAAAACACGATCATAGATTTCTGAAACCGCGAACGGCGGCGCCTTTGACGACTTGGCAACCCGTTCGCAACACAGCCATTTATATAGCCTTAACTAACTATACCATGATCACAATAAATTCCTAAAATTTACCATTGGATAGCAAAAGGGCCAAAATACGTGTTCTTAATCATATCTTACCAGGTCGACTTCATCTGGATCAACCGTGACCAGAAGTCGTTCGAGTGGTTCGTCAGCCTTCTCACTCAGTTGGAAATGGAACAGACTATGGAAGGCGGGCTGGGCAACATGATCGAGATGCACATGTATATGACTGCAGCACTTAACAAGACGGACCTCAAAGGAATCGGCTTACAGATGGCCCTTGACCTCATCCATAAGAAACAAGACAAAGACCTGTTGACGGGGCTGAAAACACGCACACAGCCAGGGAGGCCCGACTTCAGAAAGGTAGTGAGACGTGAAATTAAATATTTATACATCGATGGAGACAAACTAAAGTGTAATAACTTCATGTGCAGTATGTTTTCTGAAAGGCATGTTTGAACATCTGTGATTGAATTGAAAGGAGTTTTTCTGTTTTATGTCACAGCAAGCAGTACTCTAGCTAATTTATATCACAGTGGCATGTAAATTTTCCAGACTCACATTAATGGTTGTCATTACAATCTACTCGTGTTTAACACTCGTGTTTTCTTGAGGTGCTTAATGTTATGTCTTCGTGGTGTAGTGGATAGAGTGTTTGCCAGGAGACCGCCTCCGTGGTGTAGTGGATAGAGCGTCTGCCCAGAGACCGCCTCCGTGGCCAAGAGGATAGAGCATCTGCCTGGAGACCGCTTTCGTGGTGTCGTGGATAGAGAGCCTATCCGGAGTCCGCCTCCGTGGTGTAGTGGATAGAGCGTCTGCCGAGAAACCGCCTCCGTGGTGTAGTGGATAGAGCGTCTGTCCGGAGACCGCCTCCGGGGTGTAGTGGATAGAGCGTCTGCCGAGAAACCGCCTCCGTGGTGTAGTGGATAGAGCGTCTGTCCGGGGACCGCCTCCGTGGTGTAGTTGATAGAGCGTTTGTCCGGAGACCGCCTCCGGGGTATAGTTGATAGAGTGTCTGTCCGGAGTCCGCCTCCGTGGTGTAGTTGATAGAGCGTCTGTCCGGAGACCGCCTCCGGGGTATAGTTGATAGAGCGTCTGTCCGGAGACTGCCTCCGTGGTGTAGTTGATAGAGTGTCTGTCCAGAGTCCGCCTCCGTGGTGTAGTTGATAGAGCGTCTGTCCGGAGACCGCCTCCGTGGTGTAGTGGATAGAGCGTCTGCCTGGAGACCGCCTCCGTGGTGTAGTGGATAGAGCGTCTGCCTGGAGACCGCCTCCGTGGTGTAGTGGATAGAGCGTCTGCCCGGAGACCGCCTCCGTGGCCAAGAGGATAGAGCGTCTGCCTGGAGACGGCTTCCGTGGTGTAGTGGATAGAGCGTCTGCCTGGAGACCGCTTCCGTGGCCTAGTGGATAGAGCGTCTGCCTGGAGACCGCTTCCGTGGTGTAGTGGATAGAGTGTCTGTCCGGAGTCCGCCTCCGTGGCCTAGTGGATAGAGCATCTGCCCGGAGACCGCCTCCGTGGCCTAGTGGATAGAGCATCTGTCTGGAGACCGCCTCCGTGGCCTAGTGGATAGAGCATCCGTCTGTCTGGAGACCGCCTCCGTGGCCTAGTTGATAGAGCATCCGTCTAGAAACCGCCTCCGTGGCCTAGTGGATAGAGCATCTGCCCGGAGACCGCCTCCGTGGCCTAGTGGATAGAGCATCTGTCTGTAGACCCCCTCCGTGGGCAAGAGGATAGAGCGTCTGCCCGGAGACCGCCTCCATAGTGTAGTGGATAGAGCGTCTGCCCGGAGACCGCCTCCATAGTGTAGTGGATAGAGCATCTGTCTGTCTGGAGACCGCCTCCGTGGCCTAGTTGATAGAGCATCCGTCTAGAAACCGCCTCCGTGGCCTAGTGGATAGAGCATCTGCCCGGAGACCGCCTCCGTGGCCTAGTGGATAGAGCATCTGTCCGGAGACCGCCTCCGTGGCCTAGTGGATAGAGCATCTGTCTGTAGACCCCCTCCGTGGGCAAGAGGATAGAGCGTCTGCCCGGAGACCGCCTCCATAGTGTAGTGGATAGAGCGTCTGCCCGGAGACCGCCTCCATAGTGTAGTGGATAGAGCATCTGTCTGTCTGGAGACCGCCTCTGTGGCCTAGTTGATAGAGCATCTGCCCGGAGACCGCCTCCATAGTGTAGTGGATAGAGCATCTGTCTGTCTGAAGACCGCCTCCGTGGCCTAGTTGATAGAGCATCCGTCTAGAAACCGCCTCCGTGGCCTAGTGGATAGAGCATCTGCCCGGAGACCCCCTCCGTGGGCAAGAGGATAGAGCGTCTGCCCGGAGACCGCCTCCATAGTGTAGTGGATAGAGCATCTGTCTGTCTGGAGACCGCCTCTGTGGCCTAGTTGATAGAGCATCTGCCCGGAGACCGCCTCCATAGTGTAGTGGATAGAGCATCTGTCTGTCTGAAGACCGCCTCCGTGGCCTAGTTGATAGAGCATCCGTCTAGAAACCGCCTCCGTGGCCTAGTGGATAGAGCATCTGCCCGGAGACCCCCTCCGTGGGCAAGAGGATAGAGCGTCTGCTCGGAGACCGCCTCCATAGTGTAGTGGATAGAGCATCTGTCTGTCTGGAGACCGCCTCCGTGGCCTAGTTGATAGAGCATCCGTCTAGAAACCGCCTTCGTGGCCTAGTGGATAGAGTGTCTGTCTGGAGACCGCCTCCGTGGTCTGGTGGATAGAGCGTCTGCCCGGAGACCACCTCCGTAGTGTAGTGTAGTGGATAGACCGCCTCCGTGGTGTAGTGGATAGAGCGTCCGTCCGGAGACCGCCTCGTAGTGTAGTGGATAGAGCGTCTGTCCGGAGACCGCCTCCGTGGTGTAGTTGATAGAGCATCTGTCCGGAGACCGCCTCCGTGGCCAAGAGGATAGAACATCTACCCGGAGACCACCTCCATAGTGTAGTGTAGTGGATAGACCGCCTCCGTGGTGTAGTGGATAGAGCGTCTGTCCGGAGACCGCCTCGTAGTGTAGTGGATAGAGCGTCTGTCTGGAGACCGCCACCGTGGCCAAGAGGATAGAGCATCTACCCGGAGACCACCTCCGTAGTGGCCTAGTGGATAGACCGCCTCCGTGGTGTAGTGGATAGAGCATCTGTCCGGAGACCGCCTCCATAGTGTAGTGCATAGAGCGTCTGTCCGGAGACCGCCTCCGTGGTGTAGTGGATGGAGCGTCTGTCCGGAGACCGCCTCCGGGGTGTGGTTGATAAAGCGTCTGTCCGGAGACCGCCTCCGTAGTTTAGTTGTTAGAGCGTCTGCCCGGAGACCGCCTCCATGGTCTAGTGGATAGAGCGTCTGCCCGGAGACCACCTCCATGGTTCAGTGGCTAGAGCGTCTGCCCGGAGACCGCCTCCGAGATCTAGAGGATAGAACATCTGCCCGGAGAACGAAAGGTTGGAGGTTCGATCCCCGGTACGTGTTGCTCGACAAAAAGTGGATAAAACAAGGACTGGTCGGCTGAATGTACTGTCTGAGTGGGGTCTCCACGTTAATCTGCGGCATGGTATCTCAGTGGGCTAGCACCATAAAACCGGCATCAGTTCGGACTATTACAAGCAGCCACATACACCGGGACCCGGGGCTATATAAGTGCAATAATGTTGAACGCGACGTCAAACCTGATTTTATCTTTTTATAACGTCTTTTTGGTGTGACGTGGCCGGGGATCGAACCCTTTACTTTCCGCTCTCAAGGCGGATCCGGAGACGCTACCACTAGACTTTTGAGCCGGCACGAAGGTTTTGAAGAAAGTCATGCACCTTTGCTGTTAGTTTGTCCTGATGAATGGACACTTACTGACAGACTTGGTTTGTAAACAACATGCGGGGCGGTCGGGGAGCCTAGTGGTTAAAGCGTTCGCTCGTCACGCCAAAGATCCGGGTTCGTTTCCCGACATGGGTATAATGTGTGAAGCCCATTTCTGTGTCGACCGCCGTGATATTGCTGTAATATTGCTAAAAGCGGCGTAAAACTGTACTCACTCACTGTAAACATCATTCACTAAATTCCCTCACGAATATTAAATACTGTTTTCGTGTGTCTTTTTTCAGCTGTTTGCCGATATTGCAATGAAGAAGAAAGGACAAGTAAAAGTGTTTTTCTGCGGGAACCCTGTGTTGGCTAAAACTATCAAACGACACTGTGAATCTTTCGGCTTTGCTTTTTCAAAGGAGAATTTTTGAAAAGACGTTTTTGCACATGACTATATATTACGGTCGTGTTCAGGTGTAGCAAACTACCTACATCAGGCAAACCCCCCGGCCTTTAATATACAACTTACAAGTTCAGCGGCTGAGAGGAGCGGTAGGGTAGCCTAGTGGTTAAAGCGTTCGCTCGTCACGCCGAAGGTCCTAGTTCGATTCCTTACATGGGCACTGGCCTGAGTGTCAAACAAAATGTACCAAAAATAACAAAGACATGCTTTGTCCTAAGAGGCGTCTAACGGGATCGGGTCGTCAGGCTCGCTGATTTGGTTGATGAATGTCATCGTATCCCAATTGCTCAGATCGATGCTCGTGATGTCAATCATTGGGTTGTCTGGTCCAGATTCGTCTATTTACAGACCGCCGTCATATAGCTGGAATATTGCTGTGTGCAGTTGTCCTTTGAAATCGTTCGTTAAGCGAGAAAGAGTTACTTCCCTTTCTCTTCCGCCATCACAAAGGCCACTGGAATAAATGTGGTTTGTTTTTTCGTGCATGAAAAGAGTTTCCGTGAACATTGATCAACCGGAATGACATGTTTATTATCTGTAACACCCTGGAAGAACGGAGTATAGTGAGTTGCGTGTAACATGTATCGTGAGTAATGTTGTGGTTACATGTAACATGTATAGTGAGTTATGTTGAGGGTTACTTGTCACATTTATAGTGAGTTAAGTTATGGTTACATGTAACATGTATAGTGGGTTATGTTGTGGTTACATGTAACATGTATAGTGGTTTATGTTGTGTTACATGTAACATGTATAGTGGGTTATGTTGTGGTTACATGTAACATGTATAGTGGTTTATGGTATGGTTACATGTAACATGTATAGTGGGTTATGTTGTGGTTACATGTAACATGTATAGTGGTTTATGTTGTGTTACATGTAACATGTATAGTGGGTTATGTTGTGGTTACATGTAACATGTATAGTGGTTTATGGTATGGTTACATGTAACATGTATAGTGAGTTAAGTTATGGTTACACGTATCAGGTATAATGAGTTATATTATGGTTACATGTAACATGTATAGCGGGTTCTGTTATGGGTTACATGTAGCATAAATAGTGGGTTATGTTGTGGTTACATGTAACATGTATAGTGAATTGTATTATGGTTACATGTAACATGAATATCGAGTTATGTTGTGGGTTACATGTAACATGTATAGCGGGTTATGGTATGGTTACATGTAACATGTATAATGAGTTAAGTTATGGGTTACATGTAACATAAATAGTGGGTTATGTTGTGGTTACATGTAACATGTATAGTGAATTGTATTTTGGTTACATGTAACATGAATATCGAGTTATGTTGTGGGTTACATGTAACATGTATAGTGGGTTATGGTATGGTTACATGTAACATGTATAATGAGTTATGTTGTGGTTACATGTAACATGTATGGTGAGTTATGTTAGGGTTACATGTAACATGTATAGTGAATAATGTTAGGGTTACATGTAACATGTATAGTGAGTTAAGTTATGGGTTACATGTAACATAAATAGTGGGTTATGTTGTGGTTACATGTAAAATGTATAGTGAGTTATGTTAGGGTTACATGTAACATGTATAGTGAATTATGTTATGGTTACATGTAACATGTATAGCGAGTTATGTTGTGGGTTACATGTAACATGTATAGTGGGTTATGTTATGGTTACATGTAAAATGTATAGTGAGTTATGTTAGGGTTACATGTAACATGTATAGTGAATTATGTTATGGTTACATGTAACATGTATAGCGAGTTATGTTGTGGGTTACATGTAACATGTATAGTGGGTTATGTTATGGTTACATGTAACATGTATAGCGAGTTATGTTGTGGTTACATGTAACATGTATGGTGAGTTATATTATGGTTACATGTAACATGTATAGCGAGTTATGTTGTGGGTTACATGTAACATGTATAGTGGGTTATGTTATGGTTACATGTAACATGTATAGCGAGTTATGTTATGTTACATGTAACATGTTTAGCGAGTTATGTTATGGGTTACATGTAACATGTATAGTGAGTTAAGTTATGGTTACATGTAACGTGTATAGTGAGTTATGTTGTGGTTACATGTAACATGTATAGTGGGTTAGAGTACGGTTACATGTATCATGTGTAATGAGTTATATTATGGTTACATGTAACATGTATAATGAGTTATGTTATGGTTACATGTAACATGTATAGTGAGTTATATTATGGTTACAGGTAGCATATATAGCGAGTAATGTTATGGGTTACATGTGACATGTATGGTGAGTTATGTTGTAGATTACATGTAACATGTATAGTGAGTTATGTTGTGGTTACATGTAACATGTATAGCGAGTTATGTTGTGGTTACATGTAACATGTATGGTGGGTTATGTTAGGGTTACACGTAAGATTATAGCGAGTTATGTTATGTTACATGTAACATGTTTAGCGAGTTATGTTATGGGTTACATGTAACATGTATAGTGAGTTATGTTGTGGGGTGAGTGTGTGAGTTGAATTTAACGCCGCTCCGAAGTGCATGAAGTCATATCAAAGCGTAGCAGCTTGAAGTGGGAGAAATGTGAGCGAATGAGTGAGTGAGTTGGGTTTAACGCCACCTTGAACAAGATTGAGTCATATCACACAGCTGCAGCTTGTGGTCGGAGGAAAGACGAAGCCCCAGGTCTTAGACGTTATGAGCACGGGTATATGGTCATAATCATTATAAACCGGGATTCGAACCTGCGGTCATAGGCTTCTGGAACGTCTTATGAAGGCAAGGCAAGGCAAGGCAAGGCAAGGCAAGGCAACGCAACGCAACGCAACGCTACGCATCGCATCGCACCTCTATGGTTGCCGTAACTTGGTTCAAACGTACCACATTATGCTCATTCCAGCGGAAGGTATGTGCACCCGACCGTGTTGATAGCAAAGATAAAGAGCATTAAGATCGAGTTTTCGCCGGGGGTGATAAAGTGATATAGAACTCGGGGGCGGTATTGACAGGCAGTAAGGAGAGACACATGCAGTGAAGCTGAATGGGGTTATTCCGTGACTTGTTATCAAATAGTCAAGGTGTATATAGTGCTGCATTATTCAGTGCGTGATATAGCTGTATGGTAATCGGTGGGTAATATGGCTATATGGTAATCCCTGGGTAATTATTGCTCTATGATTATTATTGGGTGATATATTTGTATGGTAATCAGTGGTTGGTACTCCTGGTAATCGGTGGGTGATATAGCTGTATGGTAATCGCCGAGTGGTGTAGTTGTATGGTAATCACTAGGTAATTATAGATGTATGGTAATTATTGGGTGATACTGCTCTATGGTAATCACTGGGGGATGTAGCTGCATTGTAGTTAGTGGGTGATATAGCCGTATGGTAATCACTGGGTGATATAGCTGTATGGTAATCAGTGGGTGATATAGCTGTATGGTAATCAGTGGGTTATATCGTTGCATGGTAATCAGTGGGTGATATAGCTGCGGGGTAATAAGTGGGTAATATAGTTGAATGGTTATCACTGGGTGATATTATATGTTAATCACTGAGTGATGTAGGTGTATGGTACTCACAAGGTAATTATAGCTGTATGGTAATTATTGGGTGAAGTTGCTGTCTGGTAATCACTGGGTGATATTGCTGTATGGTAATCAGTAGATGATATAGCTGTATGGTAATCACTGGGTTTACATAGCTGTATGGTAATCAGTGGATGATATAGCTGTAGGGTAATCACTGGGTGATATAGCTGTATTGTAATCGGTTGGTGATATTGCTGTATGGTAATCACCGGGTAATATAGCTGTATGGTAATCAGTGGGTGATATAGCTGTATGGTAATCACCGGGTAATATAGCTGTATGGTAATCATTGGGTGATATAGCTGTATGGTAATCACTGGGTGACATAGCTGTAGGGTAATCAGTGGGTGATATAGCTGTATGGTAATCACCGGGTAATATAGATGTATGGTAATCAGTAGGGTGATATAGCTGTATGGTAATCACCGGGTAATATACCTTTATGGTAATCAGTGGGTGATGTAGCTGTAGGGTAATCACTGGGTAATATACCTGTATGGTAATCAGTGGATGATATAGCTGTATGGTAATCACTGGGTGACTTAGCTGTAAGGTAATCAGTAGATGATATCGATATATCTATATCTATATATCTATTTATAGAGCTATATATATATATATATATATATATATATATATATATATATATATATATATACATGGACTTCGATCATGCAAGTGTCTGTATCTGGGCCTCACACAAGGAATACTTTGTTGCGGACATTACATGCATTATATCTGCACAAGCAAACATCTTGAGTCAATTGGGCAAATTGTGTTGCTGCTACAACCAGTAAAATAAGCAGGAGCCTGTGACCTTAGCAGAAAGGACAAACTTTAGGAACGTCCTGTGATCAAGTACTTGCATAAAATGGGCTTAACACCAAAGGCCATCGATGACAATAAGTGCACAACACAAGAGAAGGATGCCCTATATGACACTGTGGGCAGCAGAGTTGAAGCGTGGCAGGGAGAGCATTGAAGCGAGTCCCTGAAGGCCAGTGACGTCTGCAACACCAGAAATGATTAAGAGAATCCATGATATGGTGATGACCAACCTTCGTATGACAGCGTCATATTACTAGTTCAGTAGGCATTTCCCGTGAGATAGAAAATTTGCAATAAAGAAAGTATCATCTCTTATGGTTCCAAAGCTCCTGAAATCGGATAAAAAAGCGCTAGACACAACATATCACGTTACAATCTAGCTCTGTTTGAAGCTGATACAGAAAGGTTCTTGCAGCTATCTGTGACTACAGATGAAACCTAGGTCCACCACTTCCAGCTGGGGAGAGTTGTGTCCCTTGGACACGCCAGAAACCTATGATGATTGTTCGCCCTGATTATGTTTCTAGTTTTGTAAGCACCATACCCGTGCTCGTGGGTTTCACCGAAGT